GGGTGGGGGGGGTGTAAAGGGTAAAAACGAGGATTCGTCAAGTCTTCATCTGAACGTTACACTTAATGCTGATTCCAGGAGGCTGAAAATCACTCATGATTTAAACAAAACAAAAATTCTTCTTTCACACTAGTGCAAAAAAGACATCTTGCTTTTCTGTTTTTTATCTTTTTCTTTTTTTTTTTTTGATAAAACAAGCTGTCACTAAAGGAGGAGTGAGTGTGTCTGGAAAGGGAGACTAAACTTGAGTGGGGGTTCAAACAAACTGCAGTTAGAAGTGGTGGTTTTGGAGGCATTGATAGTGATTCCCGTTTAACGTGGAATAAAAAACAAACCGAACAAAAAATAAAAAATATATATCAGTAAGGGAGAGGCGGGGGGGTGGAGGAGAGCACAGCACACAGGGTGGTCCAGTGGAGGCGTCCCCGCCCCCCCTCCTTCTCTCAGGACACGGCTGCAGCCTTGGGCATGTGGATGGGCAGGCGAGCCAGGGACACCTCCACGGTGGCACGTTTCCGCGGCCCCCGCTTGGCCGGTGACGTCTTGGCGGGGCTCAGGCTGTGGCAGGAGTCCCCCACTCCCCCACCCCCTGCACTGAAGACTCCTCCGTTCTTCAGCATGGCCCGCCCACACACCTGGTTCACCAAACTGTTGAGTTGCTCCTGTAAGGAAACAACAAAAAACATAAATAAATGGGTGTTTAGCAGGATGGAGTTTTAATTTAGTAAAATGAAGCTTAGATTTAGGAATAGTGGTCATGGTGACCAGAGCGTGACGTCTTTTATGAGTCGACATCGCCCTCTTGTGGTCGTACAGCAAACTGAACGGTGAAACGTTACCTCATCGTATCGATACATCATCTTGAGGCCCCTGCAGGACTTGTGCTTCTCCACATAACGCAGGGCACACTCCAGACAGAAAACCACATTATCTGTCTCCTGAACCACCTGCAGACACACAACTAAAATTATGTGGCTGTGGATACCAGAGAGACAAAAAAAAAAAGGCTGCAATAGAAATGTTTATCATTTAGGTGGGTCAGTTTCTATTACMACCAAGTTGCATTCATTTCAAGTTATTTAAGCACAAATGCTGAAAGTGTTTGATAATTATTTTCTAACTATACAACTCTAAATCTTTGCATTAAATAAGAGTTTTACATCCAAGTCTTCACATCACAACCAGCAGGTAGACCTGTCTGCTCTCACCATGGACAGGTAGCAGAGGTGTTGACAGATTTGGCAGCGTCTCTCCAACGACTCCAGCGCCAGCCATTTCCCGCGGGACTTCTTGCGGCCCTCCCCGGGCCCCAGGCTGCCGTCGTGCGTGCCGTAACGGGCAGAGGAGAGCAAACCTGCCTTATAAAGTTCCTGACGTTGGTGCAACTCTATGTTCCTGTTGGGTGACAAACACAAACAGGARGTGTTTACAACAAACTGTAAAGTGAAAAATACAGAGCGCTAACGTGACTGAATGTGCATTTGTTTGGTCAGTTTTTTTAAATTCATTCTTAAAAAAGGTAAACTTAAGAATAATCATTAATGATTACTGGACTAAAATGATAACGTCACTATAATGCAAGCTTTTAACTGGTCAACGACTTTAACTCACGTGTTAAAGCTCGCTCACACTATAAAGTTTTAGACAACTTATGCCAAGTATTAAATTTTTTAAACTCATATTGGTCACATATTTGAGCTAATTGTTAGCATYGCAGTATGTATACATCCACTACTTCCAGCTGATTTTTTATTTCATCYTCTAAGTCAGACAAAATTTTAAYAAGTTGTCTAAAACGTTATAGTACAGGACCTTTAGGCTATGTTCACATTSCAGGTCTTAATGCTCAAATCAGATTTTTTTTATCCTTGTTCATATCTATAATTTAAATGTGACCATCAGTTTACAGAGTGACCCACATGTGCACAAGAAGACGTGATCCACGCAGCACACTGTGTTTACTGAAGTAAATATGGATGCTAACATGTTAGCATGTGTGGATTGATTCTGAAGCTGATTAATTATCCACTATTCTTATTTTATCTAATGTCTATATTTGACCTTGCTGCTTCCTGCCCACTCAGGTGCAGAACTGTACTTGTAGAATGGGAGTGACTGMAGGTACAAACAAAATCAAACGTGTTGGTATCAAATGTTGGTGTACACTCTCTGTCATCCAGGACATGGAAGTTTAAAACAAGACGAAGCAACTGGAAACGACCTCAGTGACGTCAAAGTTGGATGAAATGCGACAAACTGCAGTCGTTTTAAAAACATCAGACATGTAGACRTTTGAAAAAAAATGTAATCTTGTGTCACATATGGGAGAAAAACATCTCTGGCTCCCTGTTGCCTCAGTGTTCTTACCTGAGGTCTTTAAGTAGGGTGGAGATGGTGGTGAGGAGAAGGCCGTTGTCTCTCTTAGACTCCGCTGTGGCAATCTGATACAGTAGCTTCTCCATGGAGAAGGGTTTGGCTATACAACGACATTTCAGATCCTGAGGGGGGGGGAATAAAAATCTAAATAAATTCACACGTGTGAAACAAAGAACTTGATATCTAAATTGGTCTGATGGTTTCAAGCTTTGCTCATTTCTACAGAAATCTACACCCACAAGAAGACAGATGGATAAATTATTCATTAAAAAAAGTATAAAGCAAATAAATTATCAGCTTCTGCTGCTAAAAAAAAGATGAGAGTAAAAATCAGTCAATATTCAGAGCATCGTCTGATTTAAGCACTGACCTTCGCTGCCTCGTAACCCAGGTTCATCCAATGTGGCGTGGCGAAGTGCACCGTCTCCGACACACTGTAGCCACAACACAACTTAGAGACGAAGGCACCGGGGAAGCAGACCACAAACTGGCCACTCCGCTGCACCGTACGGTAAACCTTGATGCCTTCACGGCAAAGCACCTCTGGAGAGATCTGCAGGTTTAAAGGGATCCACGATTAGTTGTGACATTAAACTTTATTTGATAAACATTTATTTTAACTGTAAAATAAAGACTGTAAAAATACATTCTGGGTAAAAAGCATTCTGGGTAAATGATGACATCAACTAGGTCAGTGTGAGGCTGCTAGCAAGCTATATCCACCCTGAAGGTTAATCTCAGACAATATCTGATGATCGACTCTTAAATGAAACCAGAGAGCGTTGACAGAGAGGAGAAGGTAGAAATGACTCAGCCTGTAACTGAAAATATAGATGGAGGACAACAGAGCTGCTTCATGGAAGAAGAACCTCAGCTTAGCCTGTTAGCCTTCGCGCTAGCCCTCACGCTACATTGCATTATATGTATCAGCTCTGCGCTAGCGCGACAAACAAGTTAAACTGAGGTCCTCCATCCATATTTTCAGTTGCAGTCTGAGTCATTTTTGTGTTCCCCTCTCTGTCATGTGGATGGAGGACCTCAGTGATGAGAGGAGAATGTGTAGAGCTGAGCTACATGGTGATAGTGTTGGGGCTAACGCTAAAGCTAACAGGCAAAGTTGGGGTTCTTCTTCCATGAAGCAGTTCTGTTGTCCTCCATCCATATTTTCAGTTACAGGCTGAGTCATTTCTACCTTCTCCTCTCTGTCAACGCTCTCTGGTTTCATTTAAAAGAGTCGATCATCAGATATTGTCCAAGATTAACCTTCAGGGTGGATATAGCTCGCTAGCAGCCTCGTGCCGATGACATCAATTTCCCAGAATGCTTTGCGTGTAAATAAAATGGCCCCATCCGTGTAATATATTTTTAAAATTTAGTTTAAAAATTATAAAAACTAAACAGCCTACAGTATTTTTACAGTCTTTATTTTACAGTTAAAGTATATGTTTTTCATATAAAGTCTAATGTTACAACTAATTGGGGATCCCTTTAAAGGAAGGAAGTGAAGCTGAGCTGAGAAAAGCACAGACGGTCCACGGCTGTAAGCAGAGAAAACACCCACCATTATGTTCTTCTCCAGCATTTCTAGTCCTGGGGTGCCATTGGCTTGAAGCAGTGTATGGACCACCTTGTCAAGCTTAGCCTTCTCCTCAGCAGGGACAGAATACCTGCCGAGCAAACACAACTTTAAACATCTTCATCAAGTTGCAGAGTTACGCTTCAAAACACTGTGCAGACTTACCAAATGCAATCAGCACCAGTGTGTAAGTAATCAATATATGGAAGGCGATTTTGGTCTCGAGACCAGCATGAGGTAGAAAAAACCATGCCGATATTTAGCCAGGGAATGGTCACCCCTGCAGAATCAGGATGGCACATTACACAACAGAAAAAAGTCAAGAAAAGATCATTTGAACGACTTTTCTAGAAGMAACAGTGCAAATGTCCCRTATGGCTGTATGAGACTAACCAGGCACAGCACCCAGATGTCTCAGTATGGATCCAGCGTTGTTTGGGAGGACCGTAAGGTTCCATCCATGTCTGAAGGAAAATTCATCAACAAATTAAACAAAATCACAAAGTTTCTACTCGTGTTAAAGAAAAACAAAAGGAAAGCAAAGACTGCAGTTGTGAAAGCATCCAGAGAGGAAGAGAAATGTGTCGTCTRGTCACTCAAACAGGTCTTAGAATGATTTAATCCAGRCTTAGAAGAGGTTCTTACTTTGAAAATGGCTCTGATTTTCCAGTGGGGAAGCCACTGCCATGTGTACTGCTGTCCACTTTTCCACAATGAACTGCCACGTGTGAGTCTCTGTGCTCCACAATCCTCCAGTACTCTTGCTACAAGACAAGAAAAAAAAAATCAGAACCAGCTCAGTTAGTTCTCCTGTCTCTAYGTTTAAACCAAAGTGACAAAGAGCTGACGCTGTTAGAGACTGACCTCGACCTCAGCAGCTCCTGGTTCCTTGTTAAAGCACATGGTCATGGTGTTGCGGGCTATCCTGAAGAAGTTGGTCAAAGACACAGATTTCCCCTGCAACAACAAACCTAATTAATTCTGGAAGCGACAGCTTGCTASGATGAGTTAAAGAAAGAATGACACTCATTTATCAAAAGCCAAAATTGGAGGTGATTTAAAAAGAGCCGAAGCATTATGAGTCAAAACACTGCAGACATTCATTATCTTTGTGTTAGTTTGTGCMTCCTCAAACACATTTCTCTACCCTGTTCCTCATGAATCCTTCAACCACAACTAATCTAAGAACCACAAAGCCTGGTCATAAACCACACGTTCTTGTTTGTTTTCTTCTTAAGAGTTTTCTATCAAGACAAGAAAAAAAACTGAGGCTGGAAATTAAAGCTGTTAAATAATAAAACAAAGGATTCATTTTAAACACTGACAATGTCCTCTTCACCCCCCTGCCCCCCGGCAGTCAGAACAGCCACTTTCTGGGTGTAATCAAAGTTAATTATGCCCTTGACGTGCACTTTGTTCTCCTGATAGCAGAAGTGAAACCTGACCTCCTCCTGGAGGTCTCCTGTGAGGAAAACAGTCTGAGCTGCGCAGAAAACCCGTCACATTGTGACAAACCTGTCTTGTCAGGCCGGTGACACGGCTTCTCACGTCATTACCTTTAATTCTATACCTCAAAGTTCTGCTGACTGAACCGGGTCAGATCTGCTGACAATATCTGTTATTCAAAGGGAGGTTATAGTGAAGGATTCGGTTACAAAAGGAGCTAGGAACAAAAAAAAGGGTCAAACCAGATCCAGATTTGTGGATTTTTGTGGACTTTGGGAGAAAGAACCAAAATGAAAAAGGGCTGTTTTGCCACCTCAACATGATCATTTTGCACACATGGTGTGTGTGAAAGCTTGAACTGCATTGTTATGTTGGCACCAATGGCAGCCCAAACACAGAGGTTAGCAAAGACAACCATGGGAAAACTGAAGAAGCTAAAAGGTGGGGGCAATGGAGAGGGCGGGGCCTAAAAAGGGGGTGGGGCAGTGAGGGGTAGCCTTTTCTCTGACCTACATTTCTGCAAGCCAGATCAGCAGAGCTGCCAGCAGAGAGGCATGATGGGAAACTGGGTGGACGTACATGCGATCAAAGCATCTTAACAGAATATAAAACCAACTACAAGATGTGAGAAAACCAGCATTCATCCATTTTTAAATAAATATATCTGACAAGATTTTACTTCAGTGAACAGTCGCTGATAGATGACACTGTTCTGAGTCCTGAAAAAATCTAAAAGCAAAGACTTTTCCTGTTCAAACTACATGATCCCTGAGTGAAACTCATTAATAGTGTCTGACTTTACATTAACCCCACTTCACTGTCTGAGAAAAACAACTAGAGTTTGGTTCATTTGGTTCCATCAGACAAATAAGAAGGTGTACAGTGTTAAGAAGTTTTTTTTTTTTTTTTTCAGAAATAATAAGTGGGATGGTTCAACAGTGAAGTGTTATGAGTCCATAGTCACTTTTCTTGTTGGTTGATGACACAGAAACCAAACCTTTGTTGAATACTTCAGAGATTTGAAAGTGTAGCAGCAGTTCAGCTGCTCCTCTCTCATGAAGATGATGGTCAAAAAGAGACTCGGGTAAAGTATTTATGAACTCTATCTTAGAAAAAGAACAGGTGTAAATACAGTTTTTATACAGTATTTTCATGTCTTTATGTGTCAGGGTGGATGTGAGTCGGGGGAACGGGGCCAAAAAAAGCGTGGAACACGGAAGTAAAGCAAGAGGGCCAATGAATGCTTGACCCTCTACTTCCTGCATCTCGGTGCTAATAGCGTGAAGTAGTTTGTGGATGTATTTCAACTATTGCATCACATATTGTTCCTAGAACAACAGCCTACAAAATGTTTACTATTGTTCACATTACTCATCAGTAAAACACCAAACAAACGCAATAATAGATGCCGAAATGCGTAAGTGTTTTTTTAAAATGTAATCTTTCAGATAAACAAAACAAATCATAACAAAGAGGCATTGAGGAAGCCGATTCATAGATGCTTCCATACTGTTCTGCTACTGTTGGTGGCAAACCACCTGCTGTCCTTTGAATGACAATAAGAGTTGTTATAAGCAGTTTATAGCTTCACAAGAAAGAAAGAATAGGAAGGACTCGTACAAAGATGAGACACTAGGGGTGCACCGATGGTAGTTTTCTGGCCGATCACAGATCTTTAAAAAGTCTGACCTGCAAATTCCCATTTTTTTTAATAAATGATACTGTTGGGTGTTATAAGGTCATAACACACCTTCAATGTTCCAATCATTGAACAACACAAGCTTGTTTTAACTGGACATGGTGGATGAGATGGGATTCTCATGTACGTATCGGCCGATCTCCCAAAATGAAGGAAATCATTTATCAGTGCACTCCTATAAGATACTCACATTCCTCTCATCTGTGTGCTTGAGGAGTGTGGAGTATCCACTAAGTGTTTTCTGCATTCTCACCTTGTAAATACATTTGTACTGGTCACTGAGAACGCCTCTGTCCTCCTTCGCCTCCTCCTGTCCATGCTGCTCGTCTTCCTTGCCTTGTTTTTCCTGAGCGAAGAGCCGGCGCCGGCCCGCTTTGACCTGAGCCTCCAGCTCCTTCAGACGGTGATAGACTCCGTTGGTGCGGTGGTTCCCCGTCGTGCTTCCTACGATCCCGCCCACCAGCCCGTTCTTGGGCTCGTAGCGTGGCAGCGACAGCCCGCTGGGAGCGGAAGAATCCGACAGACCTTCCAGGGGGCCCTGGCGCGACTCCAGGCTCTTCTTCTCCTGCAGCACGTCGCCCAGCAGCCGAAGGCGCTCCTCGGCGCCGAGCGAGTCGTAGGAGAGGATGTACTGGAGGTAAGCCTCCTGCAGCTTGGCCAGCCGGTCCTGCGCAGACTTGGGGATGCGCAGGAGGTCGGCGAGCTTGGTCCACTTCTTCAGGTCCATCACCTGCTGCATGCCACCCATGTCGTTGATGAGCTGGAAAAAACGTGACAGGTCCACTTCACAACCACCTGCGTGAAGCAAAAAAACAAGCTAATTTTAAAAAGAGATCACATGAATGAAGGCAGTTTTACTAGAGCTTGGCTGCAGATTTTATGATGGATCCTGTCTCTCTTCATACTCTTTGACAACGCACAAGTGGGTTTTCCTAACTTCTTCTTTAGCGGAAAATAATCACTTTTAGGTGTCGGTCACAAACTCCAGTTCCTGTCAACTCACAAGCAATCAGTACAGCCTTTTGTGTATATCAAAAATAAATTAGACTTTAGAGAGTATCTAAACACCCTAAAATTGGCCTCTGTCTCTTTAAGAACCTCCTACCGTTTCTGACACTCCCACTTCAGCACGTCTTCACAACAATGCTTTGGAGGAGGGGCGCTCTGAGGGGCAGAAACTCAGCTGCAGAATGAGCTCCAGGGAGGTGCTTTGTACAAACAGGAGGAGCTTTGTACAAATAGGAGGAGCTTTGTACCAGGAAGTGTTTAGGCAGCTCCACATGGCTACAGAAGATTCAAGGATTTCTCAAACATACATAAATGAGTCAAAGCAGCACTTTGGGTAATGTTTATATGAGAATAATGTAAAGCTAAACAAGTCAATTTTGCTTAAAGGAGACCAATTATGGGTCCTAGAAATGTTTATGGTATGTCTGTGGGCTATCCAGACCATGTTCATTCAATTTAATGCACAAAATAATTCTCAGATAATAAAATTTCCCATTTTCTAGTTCTGCCTGCTCTGACTTCCGTTCAGAAGAGCTGTTTATGTTAATGAGCTCTGTTGGTAACGCCCTCCAAAAATCTGTTGACATTAACTCCGCCCTCCAAAGCCAGCGTTTACGTTAGCATGGCTAGTAATAGCAGAAGCTCCGTTGTACAACCATATGAGACCCAGAGGCAGAGTCGTGGTCCCAGCTTCTTTTTTTTCCTCTCCCTCCTCTGCTCTGCGCTCACTCTGCATGCTGTTACCAGAGCAGGGAGCAGCAGCAGTGGTGAAAATACCTCAGAAACTCAAACAAATAGGCTTTAACAAGGCTTTAATAAGCTAAACAATAGAGGTACATGAGAAAACGTGTTCATAACGAACTAAAATAAATAAATAATTAAATTGTGTCCATGCCGGTCTCAAACCCTGGTCTCTCGCTCTCTGGTCCAACACTCTACCCATTGCCCTATTGGAGCCTTGTTGTGAAATGAGCTGCGCATTGCACAACAACACCGTGACGGCTTTTTATATTGAGGAGGTGGAGCTTCACCCAGGGGTTGCTAGGTAAGGGGCTGAACGCAGGTTCTGGTGGGTTGTCGTACGGCTTGTGACATCACAAAATGACGGAAGTATAAAACGTGTCGTTAATATACATTAAAAATACATTTACTTACAGTAAATATGCCCCTGGGTGCATTTTTTCTGGTCCTAGGACTGTTTTTTTAAGAAGTACATACCCAAAGTTGAGTAAAAAAAGCCTTTAAAAAGTGAATTTTGCATAATAGGTCCCCTTTAACATCCCCTCCTTTAAAATGTATAGAAGACAACAGACAAATAAATCTGCTTAAAACCACCATTCAGTCACTGATCACTGCTGCTTTAAAGTGACAAAAAATGATAGTGATGTTTTTTTATTTCCATCAAACCAGACAACACCTTCCATCGAGTATGCTGTAATTGTGAAATCCTTATTGGATCACAGTTTTCTCAGAATGTGATAATTTACATTAATATGTGAAAGCTCTTAGATGTGAATTAAGTAAGCTTAAACAGTCTTTTTTCTAAACCATGTTAAACAATTTTTGTCATGTTTGGGAGATTTTATTTTAACTACAGTAAACGCATAACAGTCAATTGAAAAAAACATTTTATAATTAGAAACCACAGTCACACTCAAACTTTTAACTCTTCAAGTCTGTTTGCCAGAAAAATCTCACATCACGTTAACAAGCTGTCATGGGAAAGAGGGTAGTTGTAAATACTGATATACTGAATTTTGTGGCAAAAAACAAATGTTTCAGATAGAAATGAAACCCTCTTTAAAACACATTCTGGTCATTAGGCTTAGATGCAATAAAAAGCAACTGCATGTTCTTCTGTTCTGTAAGTAAAATTAAAAGGAAGAGGAGGAAAGTCTGTTCAACCACTGCTGCTGTTTACACCTTTGTTGTCTTCAGAATAATTGTTGATAAAGTTTGAACCAAGTTCAGGAAGTCATTTGGATGCAAGATGTTTTACTTTCACCAACAGATGCAGCAGGAACCCCCAACACTGACTGCACTGATCTGTGTGCATCTGAACATAACTGCTACAAACACGACACTGCACATTTAACTAAAACAAAACAATGTAAAACTAGTAAAATCTTATTTCAGCAGCCACAGATTTGCATGCATGAAAGCTTTTGCACAGAAGATCCAAATATACAATATCTGAATTCTCTTAACAACACTGACAATACTGAGAGGAAAAACTGGGAACTCTATAGAAAATACTGACTTGCTTCTTGCAGGATTGTTTCACATTTTTACTGTCAACTATAAACTGAAAAATAAAAACTGGTGAAAGCACACAACAGGACCACTGATACCAGTAAAAAACAGCCATGAGTTCTTCAATAATTACAACACAGTTAAACTACAAACTAGCTGTGTACTATATACTTCTGATGTACCAGATTTTTTTATCACCTTTAAATCTTTAAAGAAAGCTACATGTTTACAATGAGGCAGGTGACAGTTTAGAATTGGTTGTGGAGATTTAATTCACTCCAGTAAAATCAATGGCTCCTGCCCGCTGTGGCCGCCTGCAGGAAGAAGCAAGAAGCAGCTTATCGTTTTGTCAATCCAAGCAATTTTCAGGGTTGGTTTTGTTTGCTCATTTTTTTGTGAGTGGAAGCGTGTGTGCGTCTGTTCGTCTCACTTACCAATGACAGGCGGCTCATCCATGGTAATGCCCTGAGATTTAAGGTGCTTGCGGATGCAAGCCAGCCGCTGCACATTGGGGCCCCAGCGTCGGCCCAGCATGTGGACCCTCTGTACTTGCGTAACAAAACGCATCTCCTCGTTCAGTTTGCACTCGGGCCGCCAGTCCTGCGGCGGCACCACGCGACACATGCCAGCCGCCTCGGCCTGTTCCCTCACTGCATCCAGGTACACCAGAGGGTCCTGGAACTCTCTGGAAGTCGGCCGGAAGACGGGAGCTTCGCCCAGCGCCGCCCAGCCCTCCGGCTTACTCCGCTGGCGATCCCACTCCTTCTCCTGCTCGCGTTCCTTCTGGCGCGTCAGCTCTTTCTCMCGCTCCCACTCCTTATCGCGGTCAGCGAGCCGCAGCGCTGCTGGTTTCACCTGCCCGGGGCTGTCAGTGGAAGTAAGAATACAGGTTGTAGAGCAGGAGGAGGAGGAAGAGGAGGACACAGAAGTCTGTTGGGGGTCTGAGGTAGTGCTGGCACGACTAGGGTTTGGTGAACTATTGTGGCCTAATGAAGGTGAGGAAGAGGAGGAGCTCCGACCGTGTGACCTGTTCTGCTGCTGCTGTGCTTGTCGTATCAGCATCAGCTTACCAGCCGATGCACGCTTAGGCCGCTGGTTCACTGGCTCCACATTGGCTGCTGGTGTAGAAGGAGGTGTGGCTTGTTGAGGAGGAGGAGTAGAGGAAGAAGTAACAGGCTGAGTTTGTTTAGGGGAGGTGGGCGTTTCTGATACGTGTCCATTAGAAACCGGAGTGGTGTTTTGTTTGTTAGCTTTCTCTTCGTTGGCCATCTTCTTGCTGCTGCTGCGCGTCTCCAAAGGTGTGGATTGGATTTTGGCCTTCTTGGCCTCGGCGCCGCTCGTTTTGGCTTTCTGCTCAACAACGGCGGCGCTCACTGAGTTAAGCACCACCTCCAGACGCCGTTTGGAGTTCCGCAGTCCCTCTCGACCCGGGCACTCCGCGTGGGCTTGCTGGCACKGTTTCTGGCCGTCCTCCTTGGCCGGGGAGTTGTGCCACTGCCCGTTGAGCCTGCCGTTGGGTCGGGCGGCGGCGGCAGCGGCGTTGTGCAGCCCGTTTGATAGTAGCACCTGTTTGCGGGTTTTTGCATTGCTGTGGTGGGCTGGTGCCGCTGCTTTTCCTGAGTTGGCCAGCCTAGTGCTGGCTGCTGGCTGGCTGTGCTGATTGTGATTGTTCGCTGACAATGATGCCGAAGCGGCGCTGTTGTGTTTGTGGCTGCTGCTGAGTTTGGTTTTCTTGCCCAGTTCTTTCTGTTTGGCTTTGGTGTAGGTGACGTGGCCCTTGGACACGGTGGCTGTGTACTTCTTCACAGTTTTGGACGGCAGTCGTAAGTCGTGGCTCTTTTTGGCACCACCGACAGCTTGTGCCGAGCCAGCCCGCGTCAGCCCGTTCACTTTTGAGGCCTGAAACGAGCAACGTGGGAATACAATCAGTTCAATTTGATCAAGAACTATAAATGTTTTCTAGAAAAGAAACAAAGCGATATCTGAATAAACTCAAGTAAATTTTAAAAAAAATTGGTCTCGTTGAGTTTTTTGTTTTATTTTAGGTCACATTTGTGTTAAATTTTTCATTGCAACACAGATGGTCGCTGTTTTGTTTTAACTTAGCCACACAGATTATCTGAAACATCAAAAAAGAACAACCTAGTACACAGAGGAGGCGTGGGCGCTCCTAAACTTCACAGCAAAGAGGCCAGATTCACAGTTTGCAGCCATGTGATGAAGCATTTGGCTGGTCAGACTACAGCTATTTGTGGAAAGCTCTGTTGTTCATTGGGGAAACAATGAACTGTCTGCTTAACTATACTGTTTTTGTAAACCTCCATTTACTGTCAATACGACGGCTGAGATTTAGACAAGGATGAACAAACTAAAACCACAACATACAGAGATAAACAGTGTAAAATAAGCAAAGGGATGTAAAAAGTGTGAAAAAAAAGAAAGAAATGGCTCTTTGATTTCAACTAACAGATGGCTGGACAGGATGAGGTAGGAGGTGGGGTCACTGGAATGGAAAGAAAATCCCATTTGGGCGTTTAAAAATAGCTTTTAACATTCTGTAAATGTATTTAAACTGTGCAGACTTGGGAGTTTTGGGAACAATCTTCCTCAAACATTTTAATGCCGGGAGCAATTAATCTTTCTTTTATAGTTTCTATATTTTGCACGGGAAGTAAGAAGAGAAATTGTAGAAATGCAGCTAATTTTAGAAAAAACTTTAAAAACAAAATGTGTTTGCTCTAAGTCCTCGGTGGTGCCCGTCTGTCTTTCTGCTTCAGACAGAAGAATGAAGGGAGGAAAGAAGAGATGGAGTTATCAATCACAACCAGGGCGCCACAGGACGGGGGGTGACAGCCGGCCCATTGACAGGTTGGTCTTTGTACGACTAGCGTCACACTCAAATCTGTGTGTGTGAGCGTTCACATGTGTGTGCATGTATTGTATTGTGTTTGTCTCAGGTGGCAGAGGCTAACACAAAGACCAGCCCATTAAAAGATAAGGGCGGACTGAAACCTAACCCTGCCTCTGTCAATCACCCTCCCCCCCCCCATAAGATACAACAACTTCACAATATATATTTATCATGTGATGCTGCAACAAGCTGAGGTTCACAAACATTTCATCCTTTGACTCACAAAGCTGTGGTAGAAGCTGAGACTGAAACTCCTGGTAAATTCAGAAACATTACTAATAATGACACAAACTTCTGTTTTTATACAAATGTATCACAACTTTTAAGATACATTTTGTAGTTGTTATTAATAAGATATTAGTATTTTTTTCTTTACTTTATTTAATTTTTAGAATTTTGAGGACTCTCAGTTGGTGTTTTATGACTAAACATTCAGAATTTGCTGATTTAAAGTATTGTCTTGTTCAGCCACATTGTGCTGATGAAGCAACTTGACAATGACCACTTTCTGCCACAGGGGGGCTCAACAGACCGGTTCTCATCTTCTTATTTTTTTTTTTTTTTTTTTTTTTGAGGTGGGGGGTCTGTTTGCTATTCACATTTATTTGGTCTGATGAAGAAAGCGGAGGATGATGGAGGAAGATAGGGATAGAGGAAGAAAAACACAGATGCACAAAATAAAGAAATGAAAAAGAAAGAAAGAAAAYGAGAGAGGGAACGTAAGGAGAGAAAGAGACAAGGAAAGAAAGATTTACAACACGGGTTTCAGCAGACTRGGAGAAACAATGAAGCTGTAAAATTAAAAAAAAAACTAACACAGAAGTGGAGGCGAGTTTGGCTGCACGTGAGAGGAAGAGGAGGAGGGAAAAGGAGGCGGGGCCTGATGACATCATGTGTTGCTATAGCCCAGCTGAGGCCTAGCAGGAAGACTTTTTTTGTTAAACAACACACTACATCTGCAGGAGTTGGCTCGGAGAGGAGGAGGAGGAGGAGGAGGACATGATGATGCACAGAGAGAGACTGGGAAAGAAGGCCAGCCTCATAATAGAAGAGGAGAAAAGAAATTTTAAAGCTTGTAAAGATTTCTGAATAACAACAGAGGAAAAACAGGAAGGAAATAAGTAAATTTAGATTCATTCTGCTGAAAATACTGAAAAAAATGTTTCTAAATTGTAGGCACTTGTTACTGAGCAGATGTTGCTGTTTTAACACACGAAGCAAATTCCTCCAGTGCACTGTCCTGTTCYGTCTACAAACATTTAATCAAACCCAAATCCTTTCATTTCCAGCAGTAAAGTTCACATCTAGACTTCTGTAAAGTCTTTAAATTGTTCATTGTGAAAATCTTTGGGTCAAACAGCTCCAGTGTTTTTATCTGATATGAATGTTTTCTCTTTTGAATCCCGTTGACTCCCTTTACAATACATGCTTCATCATATACAGTGGGGGAAATTAGTATTTAGTCAGTCACCAATTGTGCAAGTTCTCCCACTTAAAAAGATGAGAGAGGCCTGTAATTGACATCATAGGTAGACCTCAACTATGAGAGACAAAATGTGAAAAAAAATTTGAGAAAATCATTTTGTCTGACTTTTAAAGAATTTTTTTGCAAATAATGGTGGAAAATACTGTAAGTATTTGGTCAATAACAAAAG